TAAAATAAAACTAAAGTGAAAAACACTATTTCTAAGTAAAATTGTAACTATTTTAAAGTTACCAAAATAAAACTATTATATTTGAAATCTACATTTAAAAACAAAGATTTTGATATAAAATATGAAATATCTATTTTTAAAAATAATGATTGTGATGTAAACTATCATTATCATTCATAATGTAAAAATATGAATCATAATATGTTCATTGTTTGTAGAATTACTATAAATTGTAATATTTAGTTTTCTAATTGACAGTTTGTATCATGCTTTGTAGACAACAACAACAACACACATCTTTTATTCACTCAAACATGCATACAACATGTAATATGAGGAAAATGTCAAAATATTTAACGAGGCATTTATACAAATTGAGATCAGAATATAATTACTAAACAATTTATAAAACTACTATTAACATATTATTAAATTATATGCATATTTTTGCTTAGGAAACAAATTTTTTTTTTTACTTATTAAGAAAAATGCAAACCTGAAAATTTTACAACATTTTTAAATTACTGCTTGAAAAGAATGTAAGATATTTTTTACTAGGAAATGATCTATAGATGTGATATAATTGTCATTAAAAGTTGCTAAAAAAATAAAGTAATATTTTAACTCCATACAAAAAAGATGCTTATTTAACTATTACTTGTACTTTACTTTCTAAAAATGCCAAATTTTGTAAAATGAAAGATTGAATTCATGAAATAAACCAGTGATTAATCGTTTAATACCTATAAAAGTACAGCAAAAAACCTAAGTCTTTGAAGAAATCTGAAAAAAAGTATATTGTGAGATATAAAGGACCTTTGCTGTATAGTAAGAAAGTGGTAAAGTGAATATCATTTAAAACAAAACTATTATCTCAGAACATTACAAAATAACAAACTGAAAATTTTTTAAAAGAAAAAAATAAATATTTTATTAAATTTTTACATTTCTTAAAATAATCTTAAATTTTCATATTTATAAAAAAGCAGGCGAATCTTTTATTGTAAAAAGTTTTCTAATTTTTACATATTTGGACGTCTATAAAAATATGGTTTTTTAAATTTTTCTTCTTTTCATTTAAAAAAACATTACATTCGAAAAGGAATTAAAAACCCCACCCAAATTTTTAAACAAAAAAAAACCCCATTTTTCCCGACAGGGATATTTTACCAATTCCAAACTTGGGAATTATTTTTTTCTGAATTTTACAAAAAAAAACATTGCAAATTTTGGGGACGAAAGAAAGTTTTATTCCAAAAATTTTTAAAATTTTTTAAAAAGAACATTTCCATTTATTTTTCTTTGAATAAATTCATTTTAAAAAAAAGATCTTTTTGCTTTTTTTTTACTGTTAACTTAACCATTTGGTACCGGAAAATTATGATCAATCCAAACATTGGGTTGATACGCCATTTTAATTAGAATTGATTTTAAATTTATAAAATCCACGGATAATAACGTTCAAAATCATTTATCATTAATTATCCACTGTATTCTTATGCATATGACGATATACAAAGTATGATAATTTATTTGGTATTAAAATCATTTTCGTTCTGAGGAGACGCGCCCAAAATGAAACTATTCTTTCTCCGTATCTTACAGGACAATGGCATGCATCCCGTTTCCACCGTATATGAAATAAACTGCCGTCGAACGTTTAAGTTTAAGGGGGGAATGTTTTAAAATTTGAGTTTTACGCCCTTTCAATAACGTCAAGAATTACCGGTATCCCCAGATTTTCAGAACCATAAAAGTAATATTGGTTTTAACAGTTTTTAAAAATTCAATTTGTAAGTCAATTGGTAAATTTAATCTTATTTGAATTTCTTATCAGGCTGTACATCGATCTTTGTAGCTTGTTCTGCAATATGTGTCTTTAGTTTTAGCAAAAGGAACCACTTCTAAATTAAAAATATGCCGAGGTATTTATATTCCATTTACTATTTCAATTTGTTCATTTTTTATAAGTGAAAATGAATAATTTCTTTGTCTCCCCTTTTTGAAAAAATACAAACTATCTTGGTTTTTTAGAAATATTGATATGTAAGTTTCCAATATCCGCAATATCTTTCATATGTATTAAGCGCTTTCTTTTTAAGTCATTTGCTGGGTCTCGGCCCATAATAACAGTGGTCATCTGCATCATAACAGAATAAAGATTTGTAAAAAATTGTATAGCTCGTTTATATTCTGAATTTTCATTATGATAGCAAAATTCCACGGTGTATTTACTATTATTTTGAAAGAAATCTTTAAGAATCATTCAAATTACATCAAGAAGAGCAATGGGAGATAAATTTTCCCCCGTTGACGAACACCTATTATTACATGAGAAAAAAGTTAGATAGTTGACAATTTACCTTCAACATGATTTAATTTGCCTTTGTACATATTTGTATAACCTGCAGACATTTACCTTGTATATTAGCCATTAATTAAAAATTTTTCCATTAGACGCATTTCTCCACACAGTATCAAATGCCTGTTTTAAAAATCAATAAATTGAGCAAAATAGTTTTTTTTTTTTTTTTTTTTTTTTTTGTAGAAAATGCGCCAGAGCCCATAATACATGCACAGTTGTGTTAACTGGAGTGCAGGTATTTCTCAAGTTACCTCCACTCAAGCGCTGTCTTTCAGGGAAAAAAATATAGGCATCCTCGTTGATTGTCTGGGGTTTAGCTTATTAAACGGAAGACGGACAAAACCCCACCATTTAAAAACCCACCACTCAAAATTTTATAAAGTGGACAAACCCCATCACTAAATTTTATAAGAGTGGACAAAACCCCACCACTAAATTTTACAGAGTGGACAAAACCCCACCACTTCAGTTTTTATAGAGTGGACAAAACCCACACTTACCAATTATTGGGCAAGATTTGATGAGAATTAAAATATATATAATATACACATTTTTCACATTTTATTTTTTAATTTCGATATAACATTTGTGTAATATAAGAATGATTTTTATTAACAATGCATGTACATCTTGCATGTGCAATTATAAAAAAGGTGTTACAAACAGTTTTGTACACACAAAAACTTAATCCAAATCCCTGAAGAACGAAACAGATTATTTATTGAGTTTTATTGAAAAAAGGGGTTTCAAACGGGAACCCAAAAAAACCCAAAACCCTAAAAAAACAAAACAAAAAATTAGCAAAGATTTTTTAATAGCAATTTTAAAACAATAAATGAGAAAAAAAAAAACATTTTAACACAAAGGAAAATCAATTGGGAAAGGCCCCATTTTTCCTTTAATTTTCCAAATTTTTTTCTTTAAACATTCTCAAATTTATTTTAAAAAAAAAAATTTCTTACATTAACAAAATAAGCACATTTTTACAATTAAGAAAAAAACCCCCAATTTTTTTAAGCACATTTTTAGTTTTTTCTTTAGTCATTTTTCCTTTATTTTTTAGTTAAATTTAAGCCAATTTCATGGGCGAAAGCCTAAGAAAAATTTGTTTTCTCTTTTCCATTGATGAGTTTATCAAAAACATTTTAAATTTTTGCGATGCACAATTGTTTGTTTTTTAACATGTTTACAAGAAAGTTTTGTCCACTCCATAAAACTGAGTTGGTGGGGTTTTGTCCACTCTGTAAAATTTAGTGGTGGGGTTTTGTCCACTCTATAAAATTTAGTGGTGGGGTTTTGTCCACTCTATAAAATTTTGAGTGGTGGGGTTTTAACTGGTGAGGTTTTGTCCTACATTCTATTATGACTACTGTGAAAGGGATAACAATTAAAAAGTTGTATTCAGATGCCCCCTCATACAAATTAGAAAGCCCGTTGTTTAGATGCTTCTTCTATTACAATGATATTATATTTCTGATAAAATGTTTAAAAATAATCATGATTGAATTTATTTTTACCATAGGTCCACCGGCTGCAGTGTCAGACTTAAAAATAGAACACATGTCACATGACTGTGCTACTTTAAACTGGAGCAATGGTGCTGGTAAAGACTCAACAGTTAGATATAAAGTGGGTTACACACGGGTGGGAGGATCAGAATGTGCCAGATATGTGAATGTAGATAAGACATCTTGTATTGTGGACTGTAAGTAAATGTCATACAAAAACATTGTATTAACCTTAATTGTCTTAAATGGACTTGTCCATCTTTCAATCTGGACAAAACTATTTATATGTTGTATGGAAACTTTCATGGATTCAGTGGTTTTATTATTTACATTTGAAAGTACACGCATACTTTTTAGCTCAACTTTTTGAAAAAAAAAAGGAGAGGTATTGCTTAGTCGCAGCGGGGTTGCCGTTTCATACCTGTATCATGATTTTTTATATTTCTGGGTGTATTGTCTTCATACTTGGCCAAAACAACCCTTGGGACAAGACCTTTCAGTAGACCACACTAACCTTGACCTTCATCCATAAATGACCTTGACCTTCAAGGTTAAAGTCCAAATTTTGCTTGTTCTTGCTGTTATTGGCTGTAACTTTGTTATTTTTGAATGGATTGTCTTCAAACATAACAATCTTCAAGGATATCCTTTAAAAATAACCAGACAGACCTTGACATTCACTCATAAATGACCTTGGCTTTGAAGGTCAAATTATTGAAATTTTCATTTTTTTGGGCTATTATTGGCTGTAAGTTTGTTATTTTTAAATGGATGGCCTTCAAACTTGAACATAATAATCTTCAAAGATATCCCTAAAAAATAACCAGACAGACCTTGACCTTCACTTATTAATGACCTTGACTTTGAAGTTCAAATTATTGAAATTTTTATTGTTTTGGCTGTAACTGGCTGTAACTTTGCTATAATTGAAGGGATCAACTTCATATTATAACAGAACATACTTAAGGACAAGACCTTTTTGTTTATCAAACACTTGGGCTCTTTAATGACCTTGACCTTGAAGGTTAAATTGCTGAATTTTCTCAGATTTGTGCATTAAATGACCATTTATATTTATTGGTGTGTCACCACCATGTGTCACCACCACCATGTGTCACCACCACCACATGTCACCACCACGATGTGTCACCACGATGTGTCACCACGTGTCATCACCATGTGTCAACACCACGTGTCAACACCACATGTCACCATGTGTCAACACCACATGTCACCATCACGTGTCACCACATGCCACCACTTGTCAACACATGTCAACACCACATGTCACCACGTGTCAACACCACATGTCACCACGTGTCACCAGATGCCACCACTTGTCAACACATGTCACCGCCACGTGTCGCCACGTGTCACCACCACCACATGTCACCACTTGTCAACACCACATGTCGACACCACCACCACGTGTCACCACATGTCAACACCACATGTCGCCACATGTCACCACCATGTGTCACCACCACGTGTCACCACTTGTCAACATTACATGTTACCACCACGTGTCAACACAACATTTCACCACTATATGTGCCCACGTGTCACCACCACGTGTCAACACCACGTGCCACCAAGTGTCACCACCACTTGTCATCACGTGTCAATACCACATGCCACCATGTGTCACCACCACATGTAACCACATGTCACCACCACCATGTGTCACCACCACCATGTGCCACTATGTGTCACCACCACATGTGACCACATGTCACCACCACGTGTCACCACCAAGACGTGTCACCACATGCCACCACGTGTGACCATCACATGTATCTATTTATAGAATATTCTATTTATAGAATTGCATGTTTCTATTGATATATATATATATATAAATTAGTATATTTATATTTACAAAATGTATAGACAAAACTAATGTGACAAGACAGACCGATTAATTTTATAAAAAGGAAACGTTAAGGTTTTGTTCAAACATTTCTTTGTTTGCTTTTAGAGAAAGTAAAAAGTCGAGCGTTGCCCCGCCCGGCGGTGGCTCTTGTTCATATATGTGATTGATTTATTGTCTGAACAGGGCATTTATGATTCAATTTGATTTCAAAATTAATTCTTGCATTGGTACAGTCAAATAACCATTGTAAATCATGTTATTAAAAGTCAGTTCTTGTAATTGACAGTAGTCAAATGACATAGTAGCTAGTTTAGATTTCTTTCCTGGAATTCAAGGCTGGTATTCTGACTTGGATTTTGACTGAATTATAGTCTTTGTCAACTATCAAAGGCTGCAATGATGTAAGCTTGACATGGATTTTGATAGGATAAATTAGAAAAATCTTGCTTAAAGTTTTGCATGCAACATAAGTCATCAAAACTACTGATTAGTTTTTCGTTTGAAACTATGCACATGCGTTCCATATCATAATTTGTTATTCAAGACTGATACCAGTGACATTAATGTTTTAACTAAATGTTGGCCCTTTGTCAACTTCAAAAACTTCTAAGATAGTACCGTTGTATACAACATCAATCTCAAAAATAAATTAACGAACATGACGCAAGGAAATTCACTTTAAACTTTTTACACACGTCTTTGGGATTATTATTGGAGGTTACTATAACGACTCCGACATGGATTTTGACTGAAATATTGCCCTTTGTGATGTTATGTTTTGCTTTCAACAACAATCTTTAAAAATAGTTAAGGTAATGTATTCATTTGAAACTTTTAGTGTCATTATGCTCATCAAAGTGTAAACTTT